GATCGAAGAGGTTGGAAATGTCCAGACATGGCTAAAACTAAATTTTTCCTTGCCGTGTTTGTAAAATTAAAACTAGAGATGAAACCATACGAGAAAATACAAGTACATACTCGATACTTTTCTTTCAATACCAAGTAATTTTGGGATCGATATTTTTGAAAAAATTTTGTTCCGAAATCTGTTCCTCTTTATGCCTAATATGAATCACCCTGTGCTTTTATCAACTTAATTGGCAGCAATTATGATTCCCAGAGGATGATTAACTTGTGATTTAAAAAAAATTAATTTAACTTAATACGGAATACACAATGAGTACTGATACGAGTAGGTATCGATACTTTAGGTCCGGTATGTTTCAGGCATCGATACTTTTTTTCGATACTACTTTCAAGTAAAAGTATCGATGCCTGCATGGTATCGTTTCATTTCTAGTTACAACTCGCTTATAGGCGCCTGTTATACCATGTTCTGACCGACAACGGAAACACTTTGAAAATGAGTTTTGGAATTGTGGGCTGAAGGCTGTTCACACCGGCTGTTAGTGTTTTCGTTGACATTTCTTACATCCTCTGATTGCAATTATGCTACACAAAAACAAAACCAAAATGCTTTTCCCGCATTTTCTTCTCATTNATACATCTTCTGATTGCAATTTTGCTACACAAAAACAAAACCAAAATGCTTTTCCCGCATTTTCTTCTCATTAGCAACCTCCTTTTTTCATTCTTATTTTAGTTTGGCCAGCCAATTAACAATAAATACGAAATAGCGTATTAAAGATGAGAAAATATGACTTCCACTTCGATAAATAATCGAAAAAACTAGTTAAGACACCGATTGGAATGAGTGGAACGTGAGTTTTCAAGTAGTTTTCAGCGAAAACTGGTTTTCGTTTNTCTTACTTCCGCGGTAACATATCGCCCACTTATGCTGAGTTCTAACTTATGCCAAAACGAGCGGCCAGGTTTTTCCAAAAAATATCCGTTGGGCTTATGTGCAATACGCAGCCGTTCCAGGTTGCGGGGATTACGGTTAATTACTACAGGCTCACCAGTTGGTTTGCTAATTTCTTTGATTTTGCGCAACACCCGTGAGGATCGAAGAGGTTGGAAATGTCCAGACATGGCTAAAACTAAATTTTTCCTTGCCGTGTTTGTAAAATTAAAACTAGAGATGAAACCATACGAGAAAATACAAGTACATACTCGATACTTTTCTTTCAATACCAAGTAATTTTGGGATCGATATTTTTGAAAAAATTTTGTTCCGAAATCTGTTCCTCTTTATGCCTAATATGAATCACCCTGTGCTTTTATCAACTTAATTGGCAGCGATTATGATTCCCAGAGGATGATTAACTTATGATTTAAAAAAAATTAATTTAACTTAATACGGAATACACAATGAGTACTGATACGAGTAGGTATCGATACTTTAGGTCCGGTATGTTTCAGGCATCGATACTTTTTTTCGATACTACTTTCAAGTAAAAGTATCGATGCCTGCATGGTATCGTTTCATTTCTAGTTAAAACTCGCTTAAAGGCGCCTGTTATACCATGTTCTGACCGACAACGGAAACACTTTGAAAATGAGTTTTGGAATTGGGGGCTGAAGGCTGTTCACACCGGCTGTTAGTGTTTTCGTTGACATTTCTTACATCCTCTGATTGCAATTATGCTACACAAAAACAAAACCAAAATGCTTTTCCCGCATTTTCTTCTCATTAGCAACCTCCTTTTTTCATTCTTATTTTAGTTTGGCCAGCCAATTAACAATAAATACGAAATAGCGTATTAAAGATGAGAAAATATGACTTCCACTTCGATAAATAATAGAAAAAACTAGTTAAGACACCGATTGGAATGAGTGGAACGTGAGTTTTCAAGTAGTTTTCAGCGAAAACTGGTTTTCGTTTGACAGATTTTACATGNCAGCGAAAACTGGTTTTCGTTTCACAGATTTTACATGGACGAAAACACACGTTTTAGGTTGAAAACCAGTTTTAGCAACGAAAACATGTTTTCGATGTCGGTCAGAACATGGTATTACTACGTTTATACGCACGCATTACTTGCAAATAACAATTTGCAAAATGGTAAACTTTGCCGTATAAACGCTGAGTTAATTTTTTATTTGCAAATAACTAAATCACGCAAATAAGTATTGATTAGTGGTACTATTTGCAAATAAGCGCAAGACGCTGCCATTCTTAGGTTAATTTTATTTTTCAATGGTCATCTTATTGCCTTCTTATAATCAAGACGTTGCCATTTTTAACCTTATTTTCCTTTTCGATGGTCATATTATTGCCTTTTTTTAATCAGGAAATATTAAAAAAGAATTTTTCGCCATCGAATAAACAGTGAGTTAGGTATTTGCAAACTTAATTTATACACATTGTTTGAGTAAAGTAGGCATCTAGACAATAAACTCTCTTCGAAAAGCCAGAGACAGTGATGAAGACATCAAGAGAAGTGGGAATAAATTAGTAAAAAAATTTGAATGTTTTGCTATTGTATCTGAAAAATTGACTTGTGTAAGCCCCAAGTACGCGGCCTTAGGGAACAGCTGATTTTTGTTTGCAAACGCAACACCTACTTTAAGGTAAAGTTTTCGTAAATTAGGTGCAATTTTATAATTCATCCCTGATGGAATATCAGCTGTAAAAGAGGACCACAAACAAACAGCTGATTGCTCTTTGTTCAATAAACATACCTCCAAGTCAAAATTAAACATACCTAGCAGGATTGCCTAGAAACCAATTGATTGCCAATTAATTATAATTATTAATTGGCAATTAATAATTTGAATTTTCGTTTGATAAATTGTGTAACAATTAAGGGCTAAATTGGTGAAAAGGTTCTTAATTGCCAATAAGGTGCTTGTTTGAACATAGTCTAAGGTACGAAAATAAGATTATTATAAATTTTTGGAAAATGGGCGTAGCCATGCCCACTTATGATTACATATGTATATCTCGGTAACCGCTGCACCAATTTCCTCCAAACTTGGTACGTTTATTGGCGTTGGTGCAACAATCAAATGGCTGAAACATTAAAAAATCGGACTATAACTTCGCTCAAATCCCATATAAAGGTAATTTGGAGAAATACGAAATCTTCGATAAATCAGTAAATACCGAAGCTAATTTATTTAAAATTGATGTTTGCAATAATTCTTTAGCACAAAATACGTGTATAATAAAATTTTGGAAAACGGGCGTGACTCCGCCACTTATGACCACATGTGTGTATCACGGTAACCGTTTGAACAATTTGTACCAAACTCGGAACGATTATTGTGCTTGCTACGTAAAAGCAAAACACTGAAAATGATTGAAATCGGACTAAAATTCCACCCACTTTTTATATAACGGTAAAATTCAGAAATGCTTGAAACTACGATATTTCGAAATTTAAGGACGCTAATTTAGACAAAATTGATACTAACAACATACCCTTGAAAAGAAGTAATATTTTTATGGAATTTTGGAAAATGGGCATGATATCGACCACATATAACTATGCAAGTTTATCGAAGATGATTTATTTTGGAACGAATTTCCGTCATCCCTTGCCAATTTGGTTGGCAGACAAACCGGTTTCGGCATTGTGCCATCTTCAGTGTCATTTTTCGTTCTGTATGGTTCGAGTTTTTGTCCTTAATTTATGTTCATTTATCTTATGTAATGTGATTTTCGTCGATGACTAATTATTAGAAATGCCATGGTGTCCTTTTTTATTTCAGAAGCAGGTAATAGGTTGGTAGGTTCGCTGTCTCGATATTAACATCCGTTATGTTGTCTCTGTATGGTTTTTGCCTGCAGCTAGGTAAAAGTCGGTGATTTTTGTCCTGGTGGTACTTTGTGGTGTGTTCGGAGTGTCCATGTCTGTTGTTTTGTCGAAGATGTTTGAAAAAGGAATAAAACCATCCCTGCTTACCATGTAGCAGTAGTATTCGGAAAGATGGAAAAAACTATTTAATAATTGCGCCGGTTATCTAATGTTCGGCTCCGCCCAAACTTAGGGCCGGTTGTTCAATGTCTGGTTATCACTACCACTACACTATCGACGATTTCGACATCATGCATGTAACATGTGATCGATAAAGCAGTAGTTGTGCTTAACCGGAGCTTCTACCTCCGATTTGTGCTAATCAGACATTGAACAACCGGCCCTTAGACTTCTTTACTTGTTTTATTTCACCTGCTGCTATATGACACTTATGCCGAGCAGAAATTCAAGTTTTCCTTAAGCTTTAATACATATAACCACAAGCCAGCTAATAATCCGAGATTGGACCGATTGATTGATTCAGATTATATTAATGTGTAAACGCACTTTAATATTTCCAGATATCGAGTGTTTTATCGTCCACTAGCGAACATTACAGTGACATGGCAACACTATTCACCGACACGTTCACAATGAATCATTAATAAAAATGAACCTACGAATTATAAATACAAAACGTCAATTTAACTCATAAATAATAATAAATATTTACAAAGGCATTGCAAAAATAAACCTATGAATTATATATACAAAACGAAGTGTCAAATTAACCTTATAAATAATTCGTGTTTGTTTCTTTCCTAATTTTAGTCATGCGTCGTCCCAAAAGACTTTAAGTAATTTGTTAGGCACCTCAACAGTAAGCAGGCTTTCGTACTGGACGTTGCTGTGCCAATCCAAATTACCTGATAGTATTACCTGGAGATTTTAACGGCTTAATATTCGAAATATATCAATCGGCACGATGTTGTCTGTAGCTAGGTCAGGATTATGCGGCCGTGTTAGCCTCCTGGTTCGGGAAAGCTACGTGGTATTAGCGAGAATTCAGAAACCATGCACTGCTGGNAAATGTCAATTTAACTCATAAATAATAATAAATATTTACAAAGGCATTGCAAAAATAAACCTATGAATTATATATACAAAACGAAGTGTCAAATTAACCTTATAAATAATTCGTGTTTGTTTCTTTCCTAATTTTAGTCATGCGTCGTCCCAAAAGACATTTTAAGTAATTTGTTAGGCACCTCAACAGTAAGCAGGCTTTCGTACTGGACGTTGCTGTGCCAATCCAAATTACCTGATAGTATTACCTGGAGATTTTAACGGCTTAATATTCGAAATATATCAATCGGCACGATGTTGTCTGTAGCTAGGTCAGGATTATGCGGCCGTGTTAGCCTCCTGGTTCGGGAAAGCTACGTGGTATTAGCGAGAATTCAGAAACCATGCACTGCTGGATACCCAACTTCTTCAAAACGGGTAAGTTAATGTGGTGTGTGCTAAATGCACCCAAAAGTATATTTAGATTAAAATTTCCAATTATATAGTGAGACCCTTGTAACAATTATCTGAAAGCATTGAATGCCAAAATGTTATGAACGTTTGAAATCGTGTATGTAATTTTCATGGTCAATTTTTTTCCTGGGGCAAAGGCGCACATAAGCAATTACTTGGAATGACCTGAGGGCCGAAAAAAAAAACCCTATGAAAGGAGGATTCTGAAATGGGTAGATTTGTGTTTTGCCATTGAAAACGAATGAACGTAAAAATGTATAAGAACAAAAATATTTGCTTCAATCTACAATTTGTAATCGATTTTTTAAATGGCTTAAGCGAACTTATGCACATATGTATGTATGAACATACATATCGATGGCCCTCTGCAATAATGACACAATTTAAAAAATAAAGAGCCTTGCTANCGCTATGAAAGGAAAGTTCTGAAATGGGTAGATTTGTGTTTTGCCATTGAAAACGAATGAACGTAANAACCCTATGAAAGGAGGATTCTGAAATGGGTAGATTTGTGTTTTGCCATTGAAAACGAATGAACGTAAAAATGTATAAGAACAAAAATATTTGCTTCAATCTACAATTTGTAATCGATTTTTTAAATGGCTTAAGCGAACTTATGCACATATGTATGTATGAACATACATATCGATGGCCCTCTGCAATAATGACACAATTTAAAAAATAAAGAGCCTTGCTACTGTTAAGTGGCTAATGTCTTTAATTCTGGTCTAATCCATGTCTAATCCTTACTACATACTTTAGTAATCTTTACTACTTTCAATAATAAGGATTGGATAGTAAGTGTGTTAATTTTTACAGCTTTTATTTAACTTGGTCATGCCGCGGAAATTTCCAATCGATTTTAAACTAACTTCCCGACAAGCTAAAGACTTCAAATTTTCAGCATACTCTGGTATAAGTTTAGGCACTGGTATGATATATTAGCTCTGATCCAATACTTTTCGTGAAAAATCCTGTAAAACTGTCAAACAGCAAAATTACTCTCTGAAGTGAGAGTAAAAAGTGAGTAACAACAAAAAGTACGGGAACAAAAAACCATTTTTCCTGTAAAAACGTCAACCAGTGAAGAAAAAGTTCGGGTAAAATCTTGCAACTTCATTCTCTACACAACTCTCCAAAAGTCGCTCTCATTTACAGGATTTTGGAGGATTTCGGAGTACGGGAACATTTTTCCTGCAACTTCCTGCAAGTTCGTGTAAAATCCTGTAAGTTCATGGAGTACTGGATCAGAGCTATTCTATTGGGAATTCTTTGGTAAGATAACATACCGGAAATTAGTTTGAATGAATCAGCTGTTAACCTTGTGATATTTCTATACGAATTTCTGTAGACCACCTACCGGGTGTGTGGTTGGGACTTGAGCTGAATGCTTAAGTAAATCAAATAAGACACCGATTTGTTTCTGATTATGATCCTAATTCGTGACACATTGGGCGCGTTCATACGACTTACATAGCTATAAACGACAAACTTTCTTAAAAACGAAGTAAATCAGTACAAATTGTTAGTAGTTTCATTAGAGTTTGAGTAACTGCTTTCACTATATGGCTTTTAGTAACTTTAACGAAAGCTTAACTTATTTTATTTTATTAACTTTAGCACAGTTGTTACAAAAATTTTCTTGTCAAACAATCTTTTGTTATATGTTAAATATAAGCTTGTTTTAAAAAAATATTTTTTTTTTACTATTACATTATTTTTTATATTATTTTATTTGAAATTTGAATTAAGTCGCTATTGCAGAGGACCATTGATATATTCAAATTTATATTTATTGATATATTCAAATTTATATACATATGTACATTAAAGTGGTCCAAAAATGTATGTAAAAAAAATAAGGTCGCATTTTTAATGCCGCCAGCCCCTAGGATTTTTCTATACCAAAAAAAATTATACCCCTATTTTTTATTTTGAAATAAACAAAAGATTAGGGTGTGCTCAAAGCGCTCAAAGTTTTTAATGTATTTTATATGGGGGAAAAACAACTTTTCGTAGAAATAGTGTAGAATTCTTGAAAATCAATATTTTTCGATCGGAAAACTTTGCTTATCTTCAGGAGATTCCCGGTAATAATACCCAATTGTTCCTTTAACAATTTTTTCATGGTGACTATATTTTATGGGTCCTTGAAAATGCAATGGGGGGACCAATAAAAAATCTTTAATCATAAAAAATGGTTAAATAAACAATTGGATATCAATATTTGAAGTCTCCTGAAGAGAACCACAGTTTTACGATTGAATAATATTGATTTTCAAGAGTTTTATGCCATTTTTAAGAAAATTTGTTTTTTCGCCATATAAAATACATGGAAAACTTTGACCGCTGTGAGCACTCTCTAAATATTTTTTGATTTCAAAATAAATTATTTTCGTTTCAGAACAATCCTAGGGGGTGGCGGCATTAAAATTCCGACTTTATTATTTTGGACCACTCTAATGTACATACATATCGTCGTTTAAAGTACAACACCGCGATTCGTCGTTCTGCAAAACCTCGTAACTGACATTTGTGCCAAAAAAGATATTTGCTCACCGGAATCCCTTATCCATTTATACTTAAATATCGATACTTATATATAATAAAAAGAAGGGATAATTAGGTATGAAAGAGAAAACTGTTTTGAAATAGGACTAGCTTTACTATCCTACAAAATCTTGGCAACCTCACACACGCGGTTTTTTACTTTAAACGGTGATATACAGTTTGCCAAGAAAGTGTTTTTACATAGTAAAATATTCTCATTTTTCATGTTTATGTAACTAAAACCAGCGATTCTAGTTTAATTTAAAAAGCTTTTCACAGCTATTTCATTAACATTGAGTTTCAAGCAAAAATAAGAATAGAAATACAGAGCAAGAATTAAATTCAGCTGTCAAGAAAATGATTCCTTTTTTAACCTAATTCTTCTTCTTATTTGGTATTACAACCGTTTGTCAGTTTGGCAGTCCTTTGTAGAGTCCGATCGATTAATTGGCGTCGGCATCGGCCGTTTTTGGCCGATTCTTAGCCGATTTTTTAAATTTTTCCGCAGTATCAACAAATTTTCTTCAAAACTTGAAACTGTTTATTCAGATTTTTTAGAAGTTTTTTGAGTACGCAGTTTTTTAAATTTTAGTATAATAAAGCGCAAGTTTGAAGTAGCTAGGTAAATGTTGATTTTTGACAATTTTTTGTTCCCGCATTTTCCACAAAAATTTTTCCAAAAATCAATAGTAAGTCCTAGTTACTTAAAATTTGCACTTCATTAAAATAAAATTGAATGGGCTACAAAACTGCATACTCAGAATGTTTAAAGAAAAAGTTTGAAATTTTTACTAACATGGTTTTTGTTACATAACGAGCTATACTTTCATAAAAAAATAAAAAAAACATTAAATAAATGAAAGGGAAATAACCAAAGAATGCTAAAATGTCGTTACTGTAAGTATTGTTTCGATTATTTTTGAATTAATCGCTGAATTCCTAAATCCTTCGGGTTCTTTTCACTGGATTGTTAAATTGTTTACGTTACAAAAATACTTTTATCATTAAAAATCTACGGTTACTGTTTATTAACAAATTGTATTCCATACAACACCTTCATAGTTAGCAGAAGCTGCATATTTTTGCTACTATGAGTACAATTAAAAAAAGTGTTTTCGAAGCAACTATTTTTTTATCATTGAATAAGAAAAAGACTATGGAACAAAGTACTGCAATGATATATATGCATAGGCGATATGCTATTTTTAATACATATTTATGTACATATGTACATAAATAAGTGAATAGATTATTGAATGATTACACTGGCTTACAGCAAAAATGTTCAATGGATGCCACTATCCAATTCCTATATTGAATTGCTCCCTGATTCCGAAAATCGAGTTAATTGTTTATTCTATGGCTAACTTTTCGAGATATTTTAAATTTACCGTTATTCAGCTTAAAACAAAAATTGGTTCCACTTATTCACGTATATCTTATGAAATACGGCAATTGAAAGCCAATAAAACTCTTCATAAAACATGTATAAACCACTTTCCGATATGACTTATAGTTTCTGACAAATTAATTAATCATTCCAGTTTTTTTTAACTTTTAATGAAAAAAAAATCGAACTATAACAGAAGACAATTTTGAAAAATAACAGGCTTTATGCCAAATTTTTGCATTTGTGCTAAAATCTGTTCTGTTACAAAAAAAAATTAAGTTACCAGTGAAGAAAATCGATGGATAGGTAAAGAAATAATGAGTGGCCAAATGAAAATACGCAACGATTTTTTTCTATGAAAAATAAGCAGGAAAGAAAGTTGCTCATACGCCACGTAGACCTGAGTAACACGCTTTTCTGCTCATATTTCATACGAAAAATATTTGCGAATTTACATTTGACAACACGTTACTTCTTTATTTATCCATCGATTTTCTTCATTAGTAACTTTATTTTTTTTTGTAACAGAATAAAGCTTGCTCTGCACAAATGCAAAAATTTGTTATTTTTTTAATTTTTCTTCTGTTAAAGTTGGAATGGTTTATTAATTTGTCAGAAGTTAACAGTCCTATCGGAAAGTGATGTATATATGGTTTATGGCGAATTTTATTAGCTTTGATTTGACGTATCTCATTTTAAGATTGTTAAATTGGTTCGTAAGATACTACTTCTTGTTGGATGTCTGGTATTCAACTGTGGGGTTACCTGTGCAACCAACATAGACAGGATCCCAAGATTCCAATCTAAAACGCTAAGGGCCTTAACGGGAGCACCGTGGTATGTCCGCAATGAAAATATACATAGGGATCTTGTTATACCGATGGTTAAACCTGTAATCGACAGCAGCAGAGAAAAATATAAAATAAAACTGCGTAACCACCCAAATCCTCTGGCTAGTGGCCTGTGCAACACAACAAATATAACACGCCTGCGAAGAAGAGATCTACCAGCCTTTCGTTGAGTA